CCTTTTAACGAGCATCTCTGGCTCTGATATCGAGCGAAGGGATGAGTTGTCTTATTTAAATCAAAAAACCCGTGTTATCCCCCGGAGAAGGAACGTTAATTAAGTTTTCCGTTCAACCAGAAATACTTGCGTACCCTCAATGCTTCCATCAAATTGGAAAACTCGAGGCCCATTCATTTCGATTTTTATCTCGCGTTTTTATTTTTCATCCTTAATTAATTACACGAGAGTCTAAAGGCGCATGCGAAATTTTCGAAAGAACGATGGATTCGTTCGAGAAACGTGAGAAAGGGACGGCGGACGATTCAGTGATCGATAATTGTTTTTTTTTGGCGATGATCTCGGCTAGTTTGGTAGTAGATACGAGTTTAATCCGGTGATATAAGGGAAGAGAAGAAAAGGGAATAAGGATTTGCCTGATACGTTGATCGTAAAGATTCATAGCCGTGAAAACATTTTCGGTTTCCTGGAAATAGTTCGGTTAAAAGAAACAATTCCATCGTACGGTCGTTGATAACTGTTCACCGAATGAAATGAATTTACTTTTATCGATATTTCTCGTTGTTTCCCGTATATCCGCAGCAATCTGCACGTCCCTACGGTTTATAACGTAATCGTATTAAACTCGATACTCGGCTATAAATTGTTTTCGCTTTCTCAATTTCGCTTTCTCAATTTCTCTAAAATCGAGGTAAAAAAGAAAAATTTCAATTTTTATTTTAATTAAAACGTGTAACAAATATTACATTAATATGTATAAATGTATATATAACATCATACTGTACAAAATACCAAATTGTTAAATTGTAAATGTTCTTAAAAAAAAAAAGAGAAGAAATTAAAAATTTTGTCGTCAAAATCCACTCGAAAAATAGAGGAAATCTTGCCATTGAAAATGTTTTTTTGTTCATCTCTATTCGAGATCTCGATCGATTGCCTGGATATAAGTATTATAACTCGAAGTATTCTCGGTGTTTAAAACAAAGATAATGAATGGGAACGGGAGTCAATGACCTGCATATTTCATGGAAACGTGTATTATATCCTTTAGAAATTGCACGCTGTGTTTTTCCAAGAATTGCGTCTGTTATTCGTCTGGAGTTGGGATAGGTCAATGAGAGGGGGCGCGAGCGAGAGAGGTCCGAATGAAAAACGGAGGGATAGAGACATTAAACGCGATTAAAAAATTACGCTTTTCTTTAAACGACGATATCTCGGGAACCGGAAGCCGTATCGAGATAAATGAAAAACCGTTTTAAAGGTCAAGGTTCGGTGCCTCTAACGGTCTTACATCCATTAACGTGGAATCGCTATCCTCGTAGTTATAGCGGTTCAAATTTTTCTTAATTTTAATAGGGTTTATTATCTCCTTTTACGAGATACAATCGTAAAAAATTTCACGCAAGACACACTTCCACTCCTCGTATCCATCACGTCGTATCCAAAAGCGGTATCCACTTAAAGTACACCAAAGTTTCAACTTTGCTAACTGCAGGTCTCTGGGCAATCGTGTACACTGGCGGGCTGGCGTTACCCGGTGCCATAGAGAGACAATCGAGTTCGGCGTGGGAATCTATGTTGCGACACAACTTGGTGGCGCCACTTAGGACCGTCAGAATGTTCATTCCCCTTTTACGCGTGAAAAGAGGTCTGGCTTCAATTTTCAAATTACGTATATTTTACTCGATCCTCCCTTATTCCGCGAAAAAAATTCTCTCTTTTCTTCTCTTTTCTTTTATTATTATTATTATTTTTTTTTTTTGCAGGTCGCATAATCTTTTTGGGCGATTCCACGACGAGTTACGGTAGCAAAAGTGGAACAGGATTGGTGGCGTACAGCGCGTCGAGGAAAGCCGTAGAGGGAGCTGCAGAGGCATTAAAAAGTGAACTACAATCCTCCGGGGTCGATGTCGTTCTTCTTAGACCTCCACCAGTGAATCCTCTCGTTCTTTATAATTCGCCTGTTCTCAAGACGTAAGGCCTCATAACGTTACGCCACAATAGTAATTCTTAGTTTTTTACTTAAGAAGAGAAATACCGCGACACGAATATGCTCCAAATCTGTGTGGAAACTGGGAAACAATCGCTGGAATATCGTATCGTTGCCGACTTACCATTGTATCGAGCTGATAATCTACCGAATCGAATAGGTTGATTTCTAATAGTGAAACTCTTGGGATATTACGTATTTCCAGCGGTCGTACTTCAGTTCGCGCAGTCTGGATAGTAGTAGCTTTATATATCGAGAAAATTTCGTTCGACGATCGATACTTTTGAATTTAACACGAGAAATCACCGTTATTTTCAGGTCTGACGTAGAGTCTGGAATAGTATCCTCGGAAGGGACGTGGACCGCGCCTGTATCTACGAATGCCATTCAAAATTCGTTGATCCCAGCGCTCACCTCGCCCTGCCCTCACATTTCTTACGACATGGTCGCTAAAACCAGACTTTTCTGTAGATAAAAATCGGATTCGAGGGAAAGGATATTATTATAAATTAATCATTCGGCCGAATTCGGTAATTCCTTGTGAGACTAATGATTGTTGTAATTTTATAACGATTAATACCATATCTAAAATGCGTTTAAACCTTTCCATGTAATCAATCTTTAATTAGACGCATGAACACACGAGAGGCTTAAATTCCAATGATATAACATGTACAGTTTTGTAATTAATACAATGTTAACCAAAAATTCGAATTTGCCTTATTATCCATCGTTCTTGCTTCAAGGAATCGCATTAATCGTTGAAATCAAGTTTCCACGAATCGACGAGCCAAGTCCAGGCTCAACTTCTGTTCAACGAACTGTTCCGTTCAATGCACTTTACTCTGCACTATCGTAAATTATTTAGTTCCCTGTTACACAGTTTGTAATCATCGGAAACTATGTATATTAGTTTGACGATGGTATCCATCGCGAAATTCACGGGTAATTCGAAAGCATTCGAATTAATAACGAATTCGCTTGTAACCGATATGGAATTTCGCCGATTACAACTATAGAATTTCGCGCGAGGGGTTAAATATCGACGCCCGTTTTGAATGGGCAATTCGCCTTGTCGAATTAATCCCACGAAATCCGTCGCGAGTTTGCCACTCGCTTGCTTCTCAACTTGCACAACTCGAACGATGAAAAAGAGAAGATTGCACAATTTACCTTTCCTTCCCGACACTTTGTCTCAAAAAGTTGAAAAATATGCGGCGTGCAGATACGCGTAGAAAGAATTTTAAAGGTATTATCATCGGGCAAAACCTTATTCTAATTAATCATCGGACCGTGGATAATCTTTTTCCAATAGGTTACCGAGAACAAGAAAGAGAGACGGGAGAGGAGTAGGGTGGAATCGAGGAAACCTAAGTTTCACGAGTGATAAAGCAATGTAATTTACATAATGGCGAAAAAAAAGTTTATAACGTAATAAACGTAACGTTGATACAACCTTCTATGATAAATCCGTTAATAATTCACGAGGCAATCCGTCAAAAATATTTCATATTATCCGTTAGCAACGCGCATCGGTGATATTATCATCGAATCAAAGAGATATATTTCTGGAGAGTGGATGAAGCGAGAGAGAGAGAGAGAGAGAGAGAGGGAGGAATTGGTCGGGCGAAGAAAGAGAAGAGTATTTGACTTTCCATCGAATCGATAGATTACAATTCAACCAGGAATGAATGTATCATGCGAGCGAGCGGTACGCGGAAATGCAATAAATTCAACAATAAACTGTATTGCCACACTGGGATGCGGCTATTCAGGCGACATATTGACACTCGTTCGCTCTATCGTCGAAAACGGGCAATTTATCGCTCATTAATCTTGACGGTCTAATTTACAGTTACAGATATCGTATATACGATAGGGACGGTTTCTTTAATGGAATCGAGTGGGAGCCAACATGGGAATAATTGTAGCCCTATAACTCTCGAATTATCGCTAGATTTTCACCCTGATTAAAACTGCTAAAGGGTCGTTGAACGCAGCGTTTCGCAGTTGTATACGATAGCTTCGATAATTTCCAGCCGGAATTAAAATCCCCTAATTTCGCGGATCTGGGATCTGCTTCGTCGTCGTGAGAGATTTCGAAATCCTAAACTTCTCAGTCCATCGACGAGTTTCCAATCGATTTTTATTAACGTTTTACGTCACGAAGCGCAACACCGATCAATGGCGAAAACTAGAGCCATTGCGACGACTTTGAGACGAAGAAACGTTCGGTCCACCGAGCACCACCGCCTCTCACCACCTCTTCTCTCGAAATCGGTGACAAGCAATGGACGGACAAATTAATGCTTTAACGAGCTCTTTCTTTCCTTTCGGTGGAACGCTCTTATAAAATAGGATTCTCGCGATCAGGCGCAACAGTCCATCGGCGATCCTTCGTGGGAGAAGAAATGGAGTCGAAGGCGAAGGTAAGGAGGAATCGAGGATCGAAAATTATTTTTCTCGAAAGACAAACGTAATATTGAATCTCGTGAGAGACGAAGGTCGAAGCTATCGTTTGATCGATACGGGATTCGTTAAGGAACAACAATTAAACGAGGATTACAACCCGTGGAAATTCGCAGGTTTCGACGAAAGAGGGAGAGAGAGAGAGAGAGAGTGCGATCGATCGTTCCAATTTCGAGTCTCACATGTTATTGATTAAAGGTGTGGGGTGGCCACCTTCCCTAAAACGGATCGCGGGATCCGTGACAAAGTATTACGAAGTCGTAATCGTAAAGCAAGAAGGGAGTGTTGTCCCAGAGATCTTTATGCGATCGGGCAAAGCGACCCCAGCGTTCCGTTTATCGTTCCAACGACAAAGAATAATGGTCGTTCTGCAATTTCAACTCGGAGTCAACCCCGAGTCACCCCCTCTTCCTCATGATTGAAATTTCTATCGGGCTACTTCATCGTTCGTTTCGATTAATTCTCGCGAATAAAATTAACCATCGCGTTCCATTATAAGATTCTTTTCTTTCTTTCTTTCTTTTTTTTTATTATTATTCGATTTCAGAGCCTGCTTGTTTCTGTTGCGGTCTTGCTGCTAACCCTTGTCGCGCAATCAACGAGCTATCACGATTTAGGTGTGTATAATATAATTATAATAAAGCTATAATAATAATGTTTCGTAATAATAGAGTCTCTATCTTAAATTCCATCGTGAAAAAGATTCTATGTGAGAAAAGTGAAACGATTTCAAATTTTTGATCGTGTGAAAAATGATATCGATTTGTAGACAACGAAGATGCTGGCAGCGAGCACGGGGGAGGTGGTGGTCATGGACACGCTCATTCCTTCCATCACTTCTCTGGGCCAGTAGTGGGTCATCACGAAGAGATCACGTGGAAGGACAAACACGGGCATCTCCATCACGACTACAGGGCCCATCCCAAATACAAGTTCGCGTACGGCGTGGAGGACAAACACACGAAGGATTACCACGGGCAAAAGGAGCATCGCGATGGTACGTCACCAATTTAGAATAATTTTGTGTTCTTCAATTAGAATTTCGAACAATTATAATTTCGGACAACGAAGCTTTCTCTTAGTTACATAACTTACGAGCAAGTTTGTCTGTCTAATGTGGTTTAATTGTCAAAGTTTTTCTCTTCCTTTCATCGAGAATATTTTGAATTTTTGGAAAATTGGTTTCAGAAAAGTTGGTTTTCGAAATTACAGGGAAAGAAGTTGAGGGGGAGTATCATCTTCACGAGCCTGGGGGCAACGTGAGAAGCGTTAAATACCATTCGGATCCTCATGGAGGTTTCTTCGCGGAAGTTCACAATTATGGAGGAAATGATCATTCAGGTGGCACTTATGGTGGGCATAAACACAGATAAATGACAACGTTTATTTGCTTCGAGATTATTGTTATCCAGTTATCTATATATAGTTGTTGAACTCGTATGTTTTATTTTCATTCAAGTTATTGTTTTTATTGTTGTTGTTTTAAAAATTAATTGTTTTAAAAATAAACCAGCATATATTGGAAAGCCAATAATAGAATTTGATTAACTAACAAACACCGATAACAAAAATATTAAAATTCAAAACAAAGAATTAAAATCAAATATTCTTCGTTTCGATAATTTGAATCAAATTTGCGCAATGAATTACATCTCGACACAACTTTTTACTCTTTAAATTCTTCACAAAAATTGGAACAACAACAAAAAAGGAGCAAATATTTTCTCCTTCGAAGATCGTGTAATTAAAGCGAAGCAACGTTTGCAATGTTTTCAAATATTTTCTTTATTGCGATAAATTTTTCTTCCAAAGTTCAAATTTCGAATGAATTTTTCGTAAGGGGCAAGTTTTATAATTAATTAACTAAACTTATCCACAACGAGTTATCGCGAAGTTTCTTTCCACCGAGCATCGTTAAAAATGGAGGGGAGTCGCGTTATAACGACGATAAAATTTCACGAGGAACTCGTTCGAGAATATAAACGCATAATTCCGCCTCCAAGCGAGCCAAGATGTACACGTTAAAACTTATCCCCGTTTCAAAACGATATGTAGAACGTGTGCATGAATTCTCCACGTTCTACACGTGTTTTCGCGTCGCCGATTCTTGCCACGATTAAATGTGCCACTCGAAGCTCGTTAAAATAATTAGCTTATTGAAATTCGCCATCCTTACGCCATCATTTGCGTTTCGTCTGAATATAATTATTTTACCTCTATTCCGAGCTCACCCAGTTTGAAATAGGAAGGAGATGGAAGGAGCGGGATAATAATAATTTTCTGTTCAATATTTGCAATGAAACTGGAAAGCGAAAATCGTTCGCTTTTCATTATATTTGTTATTACACCGCGTACAAACAATGGCGGTAATTTTAAAATATTTTTCAAACAATTGGAAACAAATTCCCCGCGTTATTTTAAGAAGATATTTATATTTAAAAACAACACATTAATAATAAATTGGTAAATAAAGAAATAAGATCTTTCTGAAAAACGAGGTAATTATTCCTAAAGATCGTGTCGATTAATTTTCGCCATATCCCAATTACATTATTGTTTTCATCACTTTAACACGAGATATCGCGTTTCCCTCCGTGGTAAATTTCGGTAAGATATACGGGGTCGTGATTCGATGGAAACAGTTCTCGAAGAACAAAAATATTACACGAATTATTTAACGAGAATTATACCACGTACATTGTAATACGGGCGATCCGTGTCAATTTCGAATCAACCGAAAGACGACGATTTGTTCGATTTCGTCGAACCGCTGGAAATATTTATTATTTTGCCTCGTTGTTACTACTGAGAAAGTTAACTCTTCGAAGTAAATATTTCAATAATGAGAACGTGTAAACGTAGCACGTGTGCAGATATCCATTGGTACGCGATACGAGTCCACATCTCACGCACAAATGACGCGTATCTATCCCGTGTACGAATGCGCGCCGCAACGCGCAGCGCGGATCGATACAATCCTTAGCGAAGTAAACGGATGGATTACGAGTCGACTACGCGAAATAACCTTTCTTCGGGAAAGAAATATAGCAAGGAAGTGGATGGAGTTGGTTCCTTGCTACACGATCTCCCCTCTCGTCCACTATTCTCCTTCACACTTGTCCAGAACGAATACATTTACGAATACGGATAAATATTTACCAAGAGAATAGTTATTTTAATAATTTAATGAACTTTCTATTAATCTTCTGCATTCTCTTTTCTTTTCTTTTTTGTATCAATGAATAAAATTCTTTGCTTTGTAAATTCTTTTTTTGTCTTTGTTGATTTAATTTTTGAAATTTCCTTGGAAAATTAATAAATATACGTTCGTGGTAACCAAGAATATATCTATAGATTGATACTTAAAATTGGAATGCAGAATTATAATAGAAATTATGATACCTTTATGAATTTCACACGTATACAAAGGTGATGATTTTTGTTTGAAACTTGTCTTCCTTTTTCGAGTTTCACCTCGTTTTAACTATTCAATTCCCGGTTAGTAACGACGATTTTACTTGCACGTATACGTATTCGTATACGTTCAATATTTCAAACGAAACTTTTAACTTCGACGTATGAATAAGTAAAAAGCGATTCAATGAATAAACTTTCGTTTCTCACTTTGACAATTTTAAACTTGATTAAACGTTGCCTGAAACGTTGCCTGACGTTTGTAGACATCAAGCTTTATGAATGCTCGATATTCTTCAATCCCCCTCTTTCGATTCTTATATCGTTGAATAATTTTAAATATTATATGCTCGAGATAGAATTTGCGTTTTATATTGAATAATCTGCAAGAGATGCATTAAATAAAATGCAGCGAGTGTTGATTTATTTCCCTAATTAAGGAATGCCATGGAAATTCTATTAAAATTCGCGAGAGTTTTCATCGACTAAATGAATAAATAATTTCGGTAATACCGAAAACGAAGATAATGAGATTTGGAACGAATGATTCTCGGTACAATTTATATTGTTGGCACGTTCAATCAATTGCCGCTATTTCACACGATCCCTTTTCCATTGTGACATGGAACAAACAATGAACCATGCAAGACCATGTTCGATCGAGAATCAATAGAATCGATTATTGTTTCAATGATATATTCTAGTAAATGGAAGAAAAAGTACATCATAGTTTGCACAAAAAAAAAAAAAAAATTGATCGATTTCTCATCATATTTTTTGAACCGTATACAATCATGTCGCGTGTATCTCTATTTTAACATTCAATTGAAAAGATATTCTCAAATAATTCTGAAAATTTTATAATCTGAATAATTTTAACATCGATTATTTAAAAACGAGAAATTAATATGGATAAAATTGATAGAAATTAGTAAATAATAATATCATCTTCACGTTCAGATTTTTAGACATTGTAAACATTGTATTAGTTTGTATACGAATTAGTTTGGATTAATTTCAATGATAGCTATTGCACATAGTGCAAAGTGCATTATCAAGGCTCTCTTGCATATAATAATTTACTAATTAATGATATTAATGAATTGACACGATCAAAGCGTGGGTAATAAACTTCTCTCTTATGATATTACAATTTCAACGTCAAATGGATATTATGGGTAATTAGATGGCACGTAATCTCTAAAATTCCAACGGTATAAAAATTTTTTGATTTCCAATTCCAGTTCCAATAATGAAGTTTTTTTCATTTTTCATAAAAGAAGGGAAAAAAAAAACGAAATTTAGGGCAAAAATTTTTCCAACAATAGGACTTGCACAATATTATTAATACAAATAATATTCACAATGCAGTACAATATTTCAATTCTTTTTTTTTTTTTTTTAATCACTTCATTCAACGTGGATTCAACTTTTCATTGGTTTTCATTTTTTAAATAAATTTGAATCAAACAGTTTAAAAAACAGATTTATTCGTTACAAAATTGTAGCGGGATATAATGCAGATATTTTATCGATTTTTATAAAATAAATTTTAATCAAACGGATAAAGGAATAAAAATAGTAAAATCATGGCGAACGGGCACATCGTTACAGAATCAGGGTACGAAGGAGGGGAGGATAGCATAAAAATAAAATTGTGAAATATGACGCTCGTCCTTACGATAGATTTTTCGCCTACGTTGGCAATTCTGATGGTAATAATCATAGCGACGAGACTTATGGCGGATATAATATTCACTAGATGGCTAGAGACACAGAGAAAAGGTTAAAAAAAGTGAGCTTACACTAAAATTTAAACTTACTTTACGAATAATTTGAAAATCAAAGAAAATTTAAAAAATCATTTTCTTTCTTTTTTTTTTTTAATTAAAATAGAAATTCATTCGTATTCACGCGTTAATCTGTTTTTAATCAGTCGAATATTTGCGAATGGCACGTTCAAATCAAACAAATTTGGAATTGATACGAAACTCTTATTACGAATACTCTTATTACTCTCAAATTATCCCCTTGTCCTTGTTATTATAACTTTCGAATATATATATATTGTATACGCAATAAACTTTTGTCTCTGTTTTACTCCTCCCCTCGGTACTGTCAATGTATTTCTCGAATAGTGGCTTTTACGACCGGGAGAATTTCCAGCTGAAACTGAACAACCGAATCTACAGGTATGCATTGCTATGGTACGTACGCCCGTGAAAATATGAAAGTCGTAACAATCACGGTATCGCCGCAATAAAGTTATCTCCCAGTCATAGAAATATATAGGACTCGCGATATTTTTATTGACTTCCTGCGTGCACGTGTAAATTGTCTAATACGCGTTCCATTCGAAATTCTACCGCTAGTTTGTCACCAAGGCTCCTCGTTATGAAAAATTCCTCTCGAAATTTCTGATTTATCGCTTTTTTCTTTTTCCTTTTTTTTTTACAATCGAAGTTTCAAAGAGAGAGATCCGCGAGAGAATCGAGCGCTGCTACTTCGATCGATTGTATACCCTTTGGGAAAAATAAATTCTGAAAAAAAAAAAAAAACGATAATCACAGGAACTGAATATACTCCAAGGTAAATTGATCGAACTGCTTGTTCGAGAGACTTTAAATCCCATTAACCTAAAAAGGAGAAAGAGAAAAAGAGAGAGAGAGAGAAAATGAAGTTTTAATAAATGCGATTTGCCTGGTTTCTTTCCATTAATACTTAATGGTAATATTTAATGAATCTCGGGCAGAGGGGAGGGGGTTAAAAATTCTACGATACCGAGCCGTGAAAGGCTCAACCCTCTAATCGAGTTAAACGTTCTCATTGTAACAGGAAAGTGCATGTAATTCGTGTCGTTGCCGCATAATCCCCGGAACAAGTTCGTCATTATCGTTAATCCGACTTTGAATACTCGAACGACACAATTACTTATAAAGATATTGGGGGGAGAGGAGAGGAAAGGGTTCATGCTGGATGTATAAATGGATGGATTGCGTGTAAGTGAAGTTAACTTAATAAAGGGAAAGATTGTTCTAAGCCTGGCTCTACACATCGGGTCACGTATTTCCAACGATGGGTGGATGCTGTGACGATTTCTGTCCACGGCGGATATGTTATATTAATTTTCATTTCGATGATGATAAGGCCCACGACGATCTTTTCCATTTGTCGAGCGAAAAAGGAATCCGAATCACAAT